GAGGGTGTAGGTGAGGGTGGGGGTGAGGGTGGGGGTGGGGGCGTGAAAGCTATTGCCAGAATAAGCATAGATGTGTATTGCTATTTAGAGTATGTATCTATATATCTCCAAAGGTTTTGTAATTAAATTCCTGCATGCTTTCAATGATGCATCTGATGTGATATGTACATCTTGTCAGCTTTACTTCTCTTTTCATATTGAATTTTAACGAGAGTAATATATAATTTTAATTTCTTATGTATACCTGCCTGTGTTTTTACGGTCCTGTAGAGCCAAAAATAAATTTCCCTCTGGGATAGTAAAGTATTATCTTATCTTATCTTATCTTATCTTATCTTATCTTATCTTATCTTATCTTATCTTATCTTATCTTATCTTATCTTATCTTAATAACACCGGCCGCCTACCTCCTGTTGCGATCAAGTCCGCAGCACTGGCCTGTGGGACAGTCGACGTCATAGGAGCAATCCAAGGCCAAGGTCAGGGTCATCAGAGCTAGCAGCACACAGGCCTCCGGAAGGAGGCACTTCTGCAATGGCATGCTGGGAACAATATACGAAACGTGATCATGTTAGCTCAAAGAGTTCTTTTATTATCACCATAAAGAGAGGTGATATATCCTTTAATACAAGAGCTCGCAGCAGCGACATCACACGAATCTGACATGGGGGCCTTCTTACCCCCATCGGCATGGCCGGCGTGACCCCATTTACAAGAACAATCTGAGCCCCCACCCGGCTCCCCTCGAGCTCTAGTATACTAATTAAACACCATCCAGCCCCCATATTTCAGTGCAAGCTTGTTGATTTCCTCCTAAGACCGCCGAAACGCCTCCATGTGAGTCTCCAAAAGTACTCACCCGTCTGTTGAACTGCGCATGTCTTGCCCATGAGGTTTAGCGTCCCCCGTTCGCTTACGTGGAGGACATCCCTGCCACGAACTTCAGTACTATATAACTTTGGCTCCATCCAACATTTTGTCTAGATAAAAAAGTTGGACTGGGTAGTTAATCGGTCTCAACAGTTTATGAGAAGATGACCAGGTACATTTACAGAATATTGTTATCGTGAATTGTGGCCGGGGGGGGGGGGAGTCTGCTTCCCTTAATCTGTCAATCCATTCAGTATGAGCTTTTGCCCTTCACGGCTAGCAATTCTATTCTGACAGGGCTTTTTGGTAGTCTGGTAGTCTTTTCAAATCATACTTTATCACTTCCTGCAACCTTTGTATTCATCTATTCATTTATTTATTACGTAAGATCTATTTTAATTGTATTTTCTTTATCTCTTATAGGAGGGGGGTTGCTATCTGAAATTGCAACCTTTTTTTCAGTGATGTGGCTCTGTATTGATGTCACGCAAAGGTAGTTTTTATTCATTTATTAATTTTGAGGAAAAACAAGGGGGAGGGAGGTTTACTCTTTTCAGCGTTTTCTAAACAATTTGGAGACTTAGGCATGGTATGTGAAGCTATTTGTCACAAAGATAACTGGGAGTACTGTTTAATGTGGGTGGTTGGAGGGTACCACTAGTAGTCGTACTTTCAACTCATATAAATTAGTAATAATTGGAAACAAGCACTGTTCAAAAGTAACTGAAATCCCGTTTAAAAAAATATTACGTTGCTCTTTCTTTTATCCGGGTTGGATGTTTGATACGAGGAAAAAATGGGGCGGGTGGTTGGAGGGCCCAACTGGTAGGTCCTACTTCTCTACTCTCCCTGTGTTGTTTCTGTTTGTGTGAGTCTTACTTTTTCCAAGCACTAAACGACCATCATTGTGTCGATGTGCTTCTCTTTAGGATCCAGGTTTTCTTCAACAGGTGTCTATAAAAGTTACTGAGGATCATATGGACAGACAGGTTTACAGACGAGGAAGTGTTAAGGAAAACAAGACAGATCCCAGTCAGAGATGAGGTAGGAAGAAGGCGGTGGCGATGGATTGGACATACTCTCAGAAAGTCAGGCAGCTGCATAACAAAGAAAGTATTGGATTGGAATACACAGGGTGAAAGATCAAGAGGAAGACCGCATAGAACCCGGAGAAGAATCACAGAAATTGATGTACAGAAAAGTGGGAAGACATGGAATAACATCAAGAGGTT